CTGATGTCATCCGCTGAATGGCCCTGACGAATGAGGTACTGAATACCTGAAGCGAGGCAGAGGGGAAAACAAGGGGGTTCCTCCCAAAACATGATGCGCCCTTTCTCTTCAAATGGATGTATACCATCCACGGTTAAGGTTTTTTGGGTCTAGGACTTTTGCTTCGGGATTGTGGCTTCCTTGTAAGGAGGAGTATATTCAGGGGTTAGCTTGGGAAACTCCCGGATGGGGTAAGGCTACATGGCAGGGCTTGCGTTTTGAACGGCATATCATTGACGGTCTGTGGTATTTGCCGGGCATGACTTCTTTGTGAATGCTGAGGGCAAAACTCCTCCTTCAACAAAACAAAATGACTGTGGTAGCAGATTTGTCAGGGACTCTGCTAAAGTACTGTGAGGAAGCTGCAAGTACCAGGATATGCAGGCTTGGTAGCTTTGGCTCATATTAGTGCGGTGGTTGCACCAAAAATGTGCGGGCCCCTCTTACTCAAGATGTACCATGCCATAGACCCGACTTCTAGGCTGGGGCATAGTTGCACGACCATGCAGGATCTTAACTTTCAGAAAGAGCCAGGAACCATCCTCATGTCTTTAGCCCGTCATCGAGTTAGCAAGACTAGAATGTGAAAGCCGTACAACTTGAAGCTCGCAGGCGGGGGTTCCGTGTTATCACGCACGAACACAGATTCACGGACCCCGCTGAAGCCCCGTAGAGCTTGCTGCAGGGGCTTCGAATGAGCAGCTACTCCACTCAACCAATGCCCAAACGGATGAAACAAGCAGAGAAGGTTTTCTTAAACAGGATAAGGCTCTTGGACCTGTGGGGCTCCCCCTCCACTACTCGGAACCCTGAACCCTTGACGCCCTGAACGACATCGGATAGGAGTCAGGGCTAGCGGCTAGCTTCAGAGGCCGGGGACGTCTTCTAGGAGCAGCTTTAAGCTGATGGCTAGGTGCTGAGGCTGCATTGTTTGAGGGTGCTTTGACATCGCACAAGTAGGTGCTTGGATTGGCTGGTCCTTTGGCTAGACATTCAGATTCGCGTATTTCTTGACATCCGGATTGCTCCATATACGCGGATAGCCACATTCTTGGCAGTTATCATCCATGTAATGGGCTGGAGTTCTTCGCGTCCCAAGCAAGGCATTCACAGAAATCATCCCATCTCTGCTACACAGGAGCAAGCTCCAATCTAGGCAAGAGTCTGATGTTTTCCTGTGACAGATTCGCGAATGAACATGATGAATCTCACAATTACACCAGACTACTAGTCCGTGTCTGGGCTAAGATGTCCTGTTCTAGTGCTCGGACACTACAAAAGCTCTTGTGTGCTCTGTGCTTTGCCTTCCATCATTGATATGGGAGCTTCTCAACCCAAAATCCTAAACACTTTACACTAGAGTCACTAGATAGGAACCCTGAAATGCCTCTGTAACCCTGCATATTCATGATGTCCCCAAGATTACTCCAGTTGAGAATACCCATATGCAGCTGAGGCTGTGTTGTTGCAGTTCACTAAGTTCTGTGATGCAGATAGTTCTAGCCGCAGCTGCGTATGGACTTTGCTTCTTGGCCAAGAGACCAAAGGCAATGGCACATACTCCATCAACTGCGTGAGCTTTGATGGCAGTGTACGGATCATTCACGATTGTCCTAAGCGAGGAAGCAAACCCCAAGCTATAGGTGGCTTTGGACTCAATGTTGAAACTCGAATTACTGTGCCGAAGCTGCTAGGAACACGTACGATACCTGTAGCCCGGGCATAGGGATTTATCCTTCAATCAGTTGAGTTCAAGCCCGGTCTGCGCATGAGGTTAGGGATTGAGGTTGCAGATGAGGAGTTGAGGGTTGCAAGTTGCAGAGTTAGCTTTCGCAGGACTTAGATTCAGAATTTCGGGTTGTGGCAGGTGGCTGTGATTCTGAGGATCTTTGTGCTCATCCAGCTTCGCTCTAGGACTCGAAATTCTGAATCCTCACCCCTTAGGCTGCGCAGCCAACAAGATCTGATCTCATGGGAATTCTGTTTCGGTATTGTTCGCACCACAAAGGACAAGCTAACGTGCTGTTCTTGCTTCATGTTGCCTCCTACCTTGACCCCAAAAATTCAATGTGGAACTGGATATTCAGCCTTGTCATTCGAGGTTCGATCGGAATAGCTTTAGATATCCATTCCTTGATTCGCCGCAAAACTCCAGGTAGATATATTGGCGCCAGGTGCAGTTCTACAAGCACAAGGTTTTGCCCAGCAAAGGTCTTAGGGTTTGGGGCCGGTTCAGGCCTTAGGATGAATGGCGTACGCTGTAGCAAGTAGCAGTTAAGCTCCATGGGGAATTCGACGATCATAATGAGCAAAGAATTCCGACGTCCAGTTGAACATCTACCACTGAACTCTGACTTTCAGTTGAACATCTACTGTCTGGGTTCAGGTCGAGGCCCCTCGCTGCAACTCGGGCCCTGGATGTCCTAGCTCTCCGTGGATTTACCCTACGAAGCCCAAAAGGGCACAAGCAGCACATGCCACTGTAGCTACCCTAATCTCCCTGCCAATGGACTTTAAACCTTTTGAGACGAGCAACGCAGGCTCCAAATTGAATCAGCTTGGGAATGTGGTGAGCCACGATGCCAAGGGCAGGGGCTCAGGGTTGCCATGGTGCTACAATCCCGCATCTTTAGTTCAAAAAGCCGAAGAAGAACCTTGCCTAAGCCCAGCACTGTGCTCACGGAATTCTGTTGCCTCAACTCCAAGCCCTCAATCAAATCCCAACAAGAGGTCCCAATTCCTGAACTCTTGCGAACTCCAGCACTGCTGGACATGCTTAGACGGAACCTTCCGATTCTGCCATTGCGCCTTGGGCATGCTGCAGAGAATTGATTGCAGTACCGGAAGATGCCCAATGATCGGTGTTGAGCCGTGTCTCATTGAATCTCATTGAGAATGTCAGAAAGAGGTGGGACAATGAGGATTCGAATGGCCTTGTTCACGCTCTTCTCTTGGCAAGCGTATCTGCAACATCCGGCTCATGGTGGGCCGTGCAGAAGATTCCCGAGATCGTTTCGCCAAGCTAAAGCCCTTGTACATTTAGACCAGGACACTTCGTAGTACGGTTGAATAGTCTTTCTGCTTCTGAAAAGTGACTGGGTAAACCAGACTCTGCAAAGATGCGTACCCACTTAATCTAAAAAGCAGCGAATTCATTTCTGCAAGGGCAAACACAAGTTTGAACGGAGGTGCGCATTACGCGAACCTTGGTGCGCAGGCAAGATTCAAACAGTTTAGGCTAGGCGTTAGGCGTTGAAGCCTTCCTGTGAATCCCCAACAGCTCCAGCGTTCATATCAACTCTGACCCTCCATCTCAGGCAGGGTGCGAACGGTCGCCTTCAGGATAGCCGCTCTGGAGCCGCTGGTCCAGCAGTGACAGGAAGCTCCTAGGACTGTAACCTGCTCAGCACTTCGCTTGGGGGTTCACAGGCTCCATCCGCAAGCTTGGCGTTGAGGCTTGAAGCCCAAGTTGAGAAGCTCCGAAATTCTTCAACAGCGAGGCCCTGCAAATGCTCGCGCTAAGACCCCTCCAAAGTTTCCCTAAGCAGCCTTCGACAGCTCAGTCCCAGGCTGACGCCTATTAGTTAATCCATTCTCTGAAGCCTCTGAGCTTGCGAGCAACACGCATCAGCAACCAACTTCACATCAATCCATTTGCTGGAAACGTTGTGGTTTGGGAAAGACACACGAGGATTCAAGCTCTAGTTTTGTAGGTTTTGCCATGTAGACGCTGGCTTTCACATGCGTGGACCTGACATTGCATCTAGACTAGAGCTGCTTAAGTCGTATGTGCCTAGTAGGATCGTTGCAAGCTCAATCGCCTTGGTTCAGGGCGACCCAGACCAGATTAGTCAAAGGGGAAAAGAGTAAGTGGCAGTAACTGGCACTTCAGCGTGCAATTGCACACCGACATCCGCAACGATTTATGGAGTGAATCAGAGCCTTTGCGGAAAGCTAGAGAAAAAGCCAATCAAACTGATTGTTGCCACATGACAGACCAATGTGAAAAATCCATGCAATGCGAAAGAGCCCGGCTGCCGGGTACTGAAAGTCATGTCACGCCAAAGGCGGCTAATGGGATGAAGAGCCGAGTCAAGCAGAAACCCTACACTTTTGGGATGACGGGCTGGGTTGTCCGTAGAATACCTAGAACCAACCATGGGTGCTTAGCCTAAAAACTTCATACGAGGCCCAAGTCCAGTCAACCTGAGATCTACATCTGCAGCCTAAGCCCCAACTCCTTCATCTAAAGCCACTAAGCCTGCAATCCATATCCCTAAGATCTGACATGCCACGCCACCAATAAACCCGATCCCCCAAAACCCAAAAAACAGCCTTTCAGGCAAGGCAAAGGCTTCTCCAGGTTTTCTGTCTGAGCACGCCCAAGTCCTGCTCAGATGAGCATCTACCAAAGGTCTCCAAAGGTAGTAAAGCTCAATGCAAGGCTCAAGTGAGCGGGCAAAGGGCTTAGAGTTGAGGTGTCGAAGCCCAAAAAAACGGGTGCTATAAGTATTTGAGTATTCTGAACCTCCGAAAAATGCTAGGTTTCTACATGAAGGGTTGAAGGGATGGGTTCGAGAGATTCGCTCAACATCACAACTACTTCCAGTGTTTCTCCTTCGTTGTACTGGGCTCTGCAGCCAAAGATGAGCAACCTATCGCACCATGGCCGAGGATGCCGAGGGTCTTACTCCCTGAGCCCATACATCATCCAAAATCCTCAAGCCTCACCTTGCAACAGCAATCCTTCCATCATCGCGTGAGAGATGTCATAGAATCCATGCCATATTTCCTCCTCCCTTCCCCCACAAGCTTCATAAGTCACGCATATGAACGCAAAAACCAATCACATGAGTTCGCCTCCATCGCTTGGATATTGCTGGTCCTGAAAACGCAATTCCCTCACCCTGGGCTCTCTTGCTTGCTATTGGAACACTCAGCATGACACCGCAATTGCAAATTCACTGGGGGCCTTGGATGTTGATGGCACCTGCATAAGCGTTCGTGATGGCTTCAAAGGAGCACTCCAGCTTGTCTGCCTCGATAGACCTTGTGACTCAAAGTGGATCTGAAGGCTTTGGGGTTTCTATCTTGCGTGGCCGTATTTGGGGCTTGTCTGTTCAGGGATTTTAGGGTTGCAGATGATTTCAAGACTTTACTCTTTGCGTCAGGTTCACACTTCGGTTCTCAGCCTATGTCCACTACATGTAGAGCGTCTCAACTACGAGTCACCCAAGATGTTCTACCCTGAGGTGATACTCTACTTTTGGTTCAAGAGGGGGTCAGGGCTAGCGGGCCTATTTACACAAGCGTGAGTGTTGAGGGCCGAATTTGCTGCGATGATGCCGCTGCAAGCTGATAGCTACAGACAGACAGAAGCCAGATTTTTCTTCTGCGGGGTTGATGACGAGTATGATGACCTTGACTACCAAGACTACTCACAGCGATGAAGCTAGTAGCAAAGACAAAGAGAACAATGTCAGGGTTATCCCTGCAAAAACCTGGGTAGAATCCAATCACGTCGTGGCAAAATGCTCACGCACCATAGCTTACAATTCCTATGAGAATCCCTACAGTTACCACCTTACCAACAAGTGGCCTAAGCCCTGAACCTATCTGAACCCTAATCCCTAAACGGCAGACCGGAGCTGAGAGCCCAGACTTTTCATATTCAGGAGGTAGCTGGATGGAATAGATTCCGATCAGGACCCCATCCTCTTGCGCAAGGATTTTTGTTTATGGGCTTGTTCTCAGGGATGTTAAAAAAGTTTGATTTTTCCTGGCTCTTCCAGCATTGCAGAGATTCAATTCTAAGTTTGGGCAGTCAGGGTATATGAGATTCCGGCAGATGCTTGCTCCCTACCACTTTTTTACTGGAGCTCAGGGTTCAGAGTTCAGACCTTACTGCAACATCGGATTTTGGACTTATTGCCCCAAGAGGCAAAGAGTCTAATTGGTTATTCAGTTGCATGTAATGTTGCGGAAAACCGCTGCCCCAAAAGGTCACAAGGATCCGCGAGGAAGATCTCTTCGGACCTGACCATCCGCAGCTGATGAGGCCCTAGACGCTTATGACTTTCCGGCCCACAACCCACGACGTTATCTTTTGGTGTCAGTTGAGGGAGGCAAGCATCTGAAACCCCACAGCCTCAGCCTTTACAGCCTCAGCCTTAAGCCCTAAATCACCAACATATGCCGCTCCTCGTCGCGGAGACCAGTGGCCAGGAAAGCAGCGTCTGCGCCAGCGCTGGGTCCGTAGGGAGCCCAGTCTATGTAGGTGATGCTATCCTCGGGGTTTCAGAGCTGCCATCTCAGGTTCACATTAAAGACGCGAAGGCGAATGTATGAGGATAGAAGCCGTGTATGCGAACTGACCTAACAAACAATCACCCACCAGCCAACAGCCTTACCGTTTCAGCAACTTGTATCAGATGTCTCAAAAGTCTGCATATCTAGCATGGACAGATCTGGTAGTGTTCGAAGCTAGTAGAACACTACATGCCCATTTGAGTAAGGGGATTGTAGTAGGACCAAAGAAAAGTGTGCTCTTGGAGTGATGTTTGGTGTTCTTCAGATGCTTTTCAAACGTTTTCAAGGGTTCCTGGGAGGCGTTTGGGGTTCTTGTGCTCTCCCTTTCTGCGCCGGCTTGATGATCAGTGCGATTGTTGAACTCTACCTCCTGAACAATAAAACCTCAATCTTGAACCCTCAGCCTTGACATGATCCTTAAAATATTGGTTTCCCAGGGGCTGGACTTGCCAAAGCCTGCTGGAAAGCCTGGCAGCAGTCTGCTTTCGCAGCTTAGCTTGTTGTCACGGAGTCTCATGGTTTTCGGTGATTTGGGATTGGTTTGGACATTATCGACTGCGTGCATTTCAATCACACCGGGCCTGCGGTTCATCACATAGGTGGATGGAGTTGCGGTGTTGGGTCTAGGGAGAAATCGCAGGTCCTAAAAACATTGCTGGCTTCAGTGCTCGGGGACTCAGTAGTTAGTGGCTAGAATTTGCGTTGGAGGCGTCAGTATTCACGGATGGGAAGAACCCTGAACTTTCGGCATTGAACCCTAAGGCATGGAACGGTCGAAAGCATCTACCCTCAACATGTGCATGAGGGCCGCAGGTGCTCATCAAATGTAGATAAGAGGCTTAGCGCATGTATGCGGATTGTGGTCGGGCAGGGAGGTTTGGCTTCTTGGGGACTCCAAAGGATAGGATAAGATGGCTGCAATTTAGAAGGTGTGGGCTTCATAGGTTGTGGGTTCACCCTGAACCCCAAAAGCCAAGTTACCGACTTGTTGGGCTGGAGGCCTGAACTCGTCTTACCCGCAAACTGACATAAAACCTCCAAATTGACAGGATCCCATGTGAGGTGCCATGGTTGTTTGGGGAACCGGTGACGGGCTGCGTAGGGCCTTCTGCAGAAAGCAAACGTTTTTGAAATGGCTGAAGGATTGCAAGATTGAACACCGCAAGCTACGGACTGCAGCTGCTTTAGGGCTTAGGGTACAGGGTTTAGAACCGGCTCAGCTTGCTTGGAAACATTACGGAAAAAGCCCCTTGGAGGGGCAAGGCATCGCGCTAGTAACTGCAATGATTCTTCATGTCTTGTCCAAGTTAGCAGGCTTAGGGAACAGTTGCCAGGTAAGTTCTCTTGCAACAGCACGGATTTGCTCGGCACGCGGGATCATTTGGCCCCAGGCCTGGCCCAGCCCAGAGTCTTTCCATGGCCCTGTGCCATCTGCTCCTCAGCATTTCGGAGGTGAAGGGTGTGAACTTGGCGTGCTGGGGTGGTGTGTATGGGCTAGATGTTTAGGGTCTAGGGTTTGGGTTTCGGGTATGGGGCCCTTTAGGACTTCTAGTATACATACACAAGAATATTTGCTAACGCCCCCTTCACCTACCTGTTGCGGGCCTGGAGGAGCGGACCACGAGCCTGATGGGATGTACACTAAGTATGTTTTGCAAGCCTGGGGGCATTACCATATACGGAGCATGGCATACGAATCAACGACATGAAAGGGGGCCAATATAGGGGGCACCTATGTACCTGAAAAACGGGTTGTTTCAAACGTATTTAAAGTTCAGGGTTGGGACTTTCGAGCTTATACGTTTTTAGCGAGACCCAGGCCTTAATTGGATGTTCCAGTGATATACTGTGTTCAACAGGTGATATTTCAACCATTCGGGATCTCACAGCCAACTACTCATGAGCCTCCGGTACTGCAAGAATGCGTTTAGGACCAGTCTTGAGCTTGTGTGACAAGCTTCTTGATGTTCAGAGTAGGAGAACCTTCAGCAGTGAGGTGGCAGCATATTCAGCCGGAAAGTCAGGGGCTCTGTTGTTTCTCCTGGAACTCCTACATGCACGAAACACCTGCAACACGCCCACAACCCAGACGAAGGCTCATATGAAGCGGGCTCCATCCCAGAATATGACTCCTACAGATTTTTCTGGACTTCCATAATGCTGGCAATGTCATTTCTTACATAGCCTCACAAGCGTTGCTGCAACAAATTTGGTAAAAGAGGCTTGTATAGAAACAGCTCTGGTCAACACCAACTGCTTGGGTGGTTTCAGGGGGCTGTAGGACCCATCGGACTCGGCGGGAGAAGGCGCTCGAGGCTCCGTTTCCTACAACACCCGCAGTCACGTCCACACTGACAAGCAGTAGCAGAAGGAGTAGTTGTAATAGTGAGTTGTGCCCATTGGGCAGCAATGGAATCGGGTCTTATCTGAATCAAATTCGCGAAGCGTGAAACACAACCCTACACCCCAAATCGTAAACACCAGGATAACCCAGCCACTGCGCCAATCCGAACACCTGATCCTAATCAATACAAGGTCCTATGCATAGGGCTTAGAAACTCAAGGTTTCGCTTGCTCTTCCCAAGATGGTCTACGCCAATCCAGGGGTGCTTTGTTTTATGAAGCCAAATGCAAAGACTGCAGTACAATATCTACCAGGTATGCCTTGGCAAACTATGGCGGATGAAGCTGAATACAAATATGAAGATGAAGAAGACGATGATGATGATGATGATGATGGCGCTGATGACGATTATGATGATAATGCTAATGCTGCTGCTGCTGCTGCTGCTGCTGGTGGTGGTGGTGGTGGTGGTGGTGGTGGTGGTGGTGGTGGTGGTGGTGATGGTGATGTAGGTGTATGCATGCAGCGCCTGTAAAGGAGCTGTAAAGGCAGCTTCTGCAAGAAAAGCATCGGAAGTTGGTTGCGTAGTCCGTCTCTTTAAACACGGAATAAATCAAATTGCCATCCAGGTCAAACATGAAAATATCGTAGTAGCCGCGCGCATAGAGCTTCGAGCCTTAGAGGATTTTGTTTTCGGAGTTGGGAAGCTGGGGCCAAAGGGGGTTAGATGACGCGCGACTATAGGCGAGTCAGCTTGGAGGATTAGCTGAAATAATGCTACTGAAAGGACGTCCTCAAACACTAAGACCTCTCAACATCAGAACGCGGACGTGCAATCGCCCATAGCGCTCGATTCCATACCAAGGTCTTTGCTATGAAGCGTGGCCTTCTGCAATTCCTGGCAGCAAGCGGGACATGTACGGCAAGCTCTGGACATAGTTTTTGCTATGCTAATTGTACGTTGTACGTTGCCAGCAATAACAGCAGGAAAGCTGCAAGGAGGAGGACCATGACGGCAGGAGGAGGGAGGAGGGAGGGAGGGAGGCACGGAGCGGAAGGCGGGAGCTGGAGGGAGGAGGAGGGAAGGAGAAGGCGGGAGGAGGGGAGGGCAGGAGAGGGAATTCGGGAGAAGGAGGGCAAGAGGAGGCAGCCAGTCAATTTTTAACAAATGCGGTCTTGAGCAGGAGGAGCTTCAGATGTATTCAGCGAGTGGACAACCTCCGAGGTTCCGGGCTTGGGCGCGAGAATGGTTACATGACAAAGAAGCATGCTAAGTAGAACCCACGCCTTTTCAAGAGCCCCCCAAATAGACATGGAGCCCACGAAAAAGACACTACAAGCACTACGCAAACTGCTGCCTTTTCACCAAAGGCCTAAGTAGGAATCCATTTTTGGATGAGGGAGGCTACTATCCAAAGGTGTAGAGGCAAGCCCTGAACCTTCAGCACTCAATCCTGATCGATTCGATCATCATCCCACCTTCTAAATGGGCGTCTCAAAACACGAAATACCAAGGGAACAGAAGTAGATTCTGCTTAGAAATAGCACATCCAGAGCAAAGTAGCAAAGCGAAGAACATGTCATCCTAAACTGCAAACACCAATGGCGAACCAAACGCTGGATGCGCCATACCCCCCTCAATTCCTCTTCGATTACCACAACCTTGGGCTGGGAGTGCAGGGCAGAGCTACGGTTTTGGGAGGTTCTGATTGCAAGGGGATGGGGCTCACACAAAGCCCTAAGCAGGCCAGGAACGGAAGGTGGGATGCCACTGCTGGTGGACAGCATGGTACACCTCCGTGCCGTCTGCAAGGTCCAGGTTGTCCTCTTGGGAGAGCCCTTAAGGTATGCCATTGGTGGTATAGGGATTCCCGGCTTGTGAAGACTATTGGCTATGGCCTTGTAAACAATGACAAAAACTCCGTGGCATTCCCTGGGAGTTCCGCCGATTGCTTGTCGCAAATTTGATAAGGGTGTAGAGGCACCGAACTTTGAGGAATGGCAGATTGAGAGCGTAGAATTAATGAAGCCGGACGGTTATTCAAGACACCTGGCCGATAATTCCAAAAAATCCAACTAATGTATTCCTGAGACTCTGAAGGGCGGGTGCTCCAAAATCAGGTTTCGCAATCCTTCACGCTTTTGATTTGCTCGCTTTTGATTTGTTCTTCAGGAGTCAGCTTTAGCGAGGCTCTTCCGAGAACCAGATTTGCGGACCTCCCCCCACATGTTGAAGGTAGTGATTGCTAACCCCCAACAGAGTCACACAATCATACAACTGGCATCTGTAACTAATGCTACAACGGCCCCTGAGCCACAAAGCAAAACGATGACATAGGTCCAGCCCCTGCATCCAGCAAACCTCCCACCCTAAACCCCAAACCTGACACCATGAGCCCCAAACACAAAATCCATACGCTTCAAGCTCACTCGAAGCCTCATGAGAAATCCCAGAGGATGCCAAAACCAGTATCACCGTATGCCATAACCAGAGAGGCGTATCCAAGCTGACTTTGAACCCTCTTTAAAACACCAAAATATGAGCAACTGCGTGGTCATGCTCAAGGGCGGCATCAACAAGAGGCCATGCTCAAAACCTAATACCCAGTAAATGCATAGGCCCAAAATACGGTTCAGATGGACTGCTTCGGATTGATGGTCTTGTTTGGGGCTGAATGGGGATATTTTCAACATACCGACAAAGAACCCAAGCTGGAGCAAAAGTTGGGGCCACAGTGAAGCCTCAGGGTTCGGAAAATGGCGACTGTCAACTTTTGCTGAGTAATGTTCGATCATTCATGGATAACTATTGGCTCGACAGAACTCTAAATAAACCATCTGCCGCACTTTCGCTGAAGGACTCAATAAGATTTTTTCTTGATGCAAATCGGCTCAGCTTTACGCAGCCGCATGGAAACTTCAAGGATTGGTCTGCACCCATCACTTGTTCGAACATCTCCTTTAGTGGGACTCGAGAGCCGCTCCCATTGCCTGGGGCGAGGCGCAATTCCAGTTTTCCAGGCAAGTACCCTAAACTAACATTGGAGTCTTGAAAGAAGCCGTATATGAAGACTACTCCCATCTTCAAATCTGGACTCTATAGGTTCAAAGTTCGTTTTGGGGAGGGTCAGTTTGGAAAGCTCAGAAACCAATTTCTAACGATGACTAGCAAAGGTGGTTGAAGTAGCATCTCAAGTCACGCCCTGAAAATCCAGCAAATACTTTGCAGAAAACATACTGGCTCAGTGAGGTTCATGCTCTTCAGCCTACAATCCCGCGCGCTGAGCTCAACTCCAAACATACTTCAAAGCTCACACCAAAAACTCGGCTAGAGTATGTCTTCACTCTAAGCCCCACAACCTCACATTCTACAGCTTAACCCTAAAAGAAGGTCGAAGCCCCAATTGCTTGCCGCATATTGCTGCAGCGTCCTTGAGATCTGTCACGTATAGGTCGAACAGGGCTTGGCGCGTTCTCTCCACGTCGGCAGAGTAAGAGTCCTTTGGGTCAGCGCGAATGGGCGGGTGTAGGGCTTACGCTGTGGGCGGAAGGAAGAATGAAACAAAACTAGATGCAGATATAGCCTTTGGATGTTTTTGGGATAACAAACTTCTGAGCCCTTGCTCAGAGGTTCTTCCAAATGGCTTCCAGACTTTTCAGAAGTGATGTGATATTTGGCTGGTTTCAAGGTTGAGGAGTCAGAAGTAAACACATTAATTCCTGAGCCCAAACCAACCCTTATCCTAGAGCTTCAGCTCTAACCCATGAACCCTAATCACCAACTGCCCAAATTACCAAATCACCTCACCCAAACGCGCCACGACTTCGGGCTACGGCCTTGAATCTTGGTTTGGTTGCACAGGGTAAAACCTGACAAGCGTTAGCTAGTCATACCAACCCGCATCCCCAATCCCCACGTGGTGTGAACTCAGGGATCCCAGGCCCAAACCCACAGTCAAGTGCTGAACTCTAATCCGACTCTGACACAAACAAAATCAGCCCTAAAGCCTCAGGAACAAGGATCCCAGGCCGACTTGAAGGCCGGAAAAGCCTGCCGCAGCGTCCGGCCGAAGACGTCTTCTGCAAGCCATGTCCTGCAAGAAAGGACCGTTTTGAGATTCGGGCACCCTGCGAGGTCTGGCGCATTATCGATGCTGACTTATGGTGCCGAATTTCAGGGTTTGAGAACAAAGGGGGATTGGGCTTCAGAGGGACTGTACAGGATGTCGCAGGATTTAACGGTCTGCGTCGGCTTTTACAGGCTTTCTGTTTCTCCACCGACTGAACTTAAGCTTGAAACTAGAATTCTCAACTCGACACGCGAAGCTGTTCATGCCCTCCAACCCCGAACCCGAGTCTTTTGTTGATTTTGTGTGTTTAGGCGTCTGCTAAGAGTTGGGCAGGTCATCCTTCCCATGAACATGGAAACCGCCTGCAGACTCTTCTTTCAGACTGCCTGTCTAGAGGAATCCACACTTGCTTTACGCATCTTGGGATTTTGCTGAAATTAATATTTGGCCACATCTTCCAACAGCGCCGTCCCTTCTCTCACATCCTGTCAAGGATCGGAAGGGCTCTAAACAGCAATGATTTGAGGCATGCTCAGGTGGCAAAGTGTAGGAAGTAAGAAGCCTTGCTTCGAATCCTCCAGCCTGTCTTCGCAATCGGAACGACTTGCCAATCCGAATGAAGAGCCCTTCGTATAATCCCAAAGGCATCCTATTCCGCTCTCACTGAACTCCTCTAGATTATGGTTGGCGGTGAACACCCTTTAACAACCGAGTTCGGCCTGGCCTATGCGTGGAAGTCAAAATATCAGATCGCTTCCACCAATCGCGTCGCCATGTCCCTTGCGATAGCCACACGATACCTACCAAGGCTGTCTTCTTTCGCACACAATGTTTCTTTAGTAAGACTTCATAATGTGTAGCCGAGAGGATCTGTATCATCAGACATACCGTCCTCTGCTAGCCTGCACGACATACGTACGCCATAGTCCGCCTAACAGTTTCTGACTAAGCGGCAGTGCAAGAGTTTTGAGTCTTGACATCATCTGCGGCGTGCTCCTTGCTCAGCAAGCTACACAAATGGAGAAGACTACTGAAAAACAGCCTTCCAAGAGACGTGTCTCCCGCCCGCCCACCCTGACCAGCCACGGGCCAACCCTCTTGTAGCTTTCCAGCTAGCCTTAAACTGGCCCTGAACACAGGACCTCATTCACCAGCACGTCTAAAGTGCGGGCGATGCTTGCCATGCTTCTTGGGGCTTACGCCTGCTGAGTAGTCCCAAGACGAGTACGTTTCGAACGAGAAAAATCAATCTTGATAACAGTGGAACCTTGAACTTGTCTTTTTCACCCTGCAAGGGTTGCAGCAAGAAACAGACATAGGTGCATGCTCTTTGACTGTATCCTCATGTCAGTAAATCACAATATGCGCCGCAGTCGAAGGCGTGGTACCAGTTCCATAGTAAGCCCCGCAAACAACCCCCAAGTCTGAAGCTCAAAGGCTCTAGCTCTCCAACTGACGAAGAAGCTCTGGACAGATGACTGTTCACATCTGTTCACATCTAGCAGATCAAGTCCCGAACCCATCCCCTCATCCTAGCTCATCCTAGCTCACGATCCCCACTCTCTGCTTAAAGTACTCTTCAGAAACCCGCGCTCGCCCAGTCTGCCAACCTCAGCTACACCCTGTCAATTCCATCCCATTCCTACCCCTCCAAATTCCAAACCGCAAGCTCATTGCAAGTCAATGCCATTCCACACCTGGCTGAAGCCCCTCTGTGATAGAAGCACAGACGAGCTTGCGGTACAAGGTCTCAGAGCCTCAATTCAGGGTCTGCGAGGTTTTGGATGCTTCGACATGCCAGGTGCCGGGATGTAGGGCACTCCAGACTTAATATTTCTTGGGACCCATAAAAGCAGGGACCCTTAATCAATGATTCCAGGCAATTTCCTACTCCTCCATACTACCCCTTCTGCTAATGTCCACCTTCCGTCATAAGAACGAGTTGGTCAAGGGCTTCGGCCAACAAGCCAAAGGAATCTCAATGATGATCGTCCTTGTTGCCTGTTGCTTGAGGAAGGGATTGCTCCTCATTCGTATCGGGTGCTTTGATTGAGTAGTCTTGAGTCTTGAGCTCCCCTCGTCCAATGAAGTGAGTTTGGGATTTAGGGGTTTGAGGCTTAGTGGTCCGCGGCGTCGAGTCGTTGTGAAGACAAAGAGTGTGAAACCGTTGGCCAGCACAAAAACGATTTAGGGACATATCTGAAAAAAACGCCCGTTCTGAAGCCCCGGATGATAATTTTTTTGTGTACAAACCTAAACAGTGGATCCGTAATTTGAGAACCCCCCGTCTGTTTGGCATGTAAGTGGCCAAGGAAGAAGATCACTCGCTTGCGGCCTCTCGTGGACTCTCTGATTTGTCCCATGACCTCGTGTCAGGGGCCGAGATTAAGGGGTGCAAGATTTGGCGGAATCAAGGTTTGGGGCTTAGGAGCTTCGATTACCTTTTGCGGGGCTATATCAGGAGCAGTTACAGACGGATGGTTACATAGGGATGATACAAATAGTTGGCATAGGGCTTCACAACTACAATTTAAGAGGTTCCGAGCAGGGTTGCTCTCAATTATGAGTTGCATGGGGGTCCCTCCTTTCACAGCCCGAATCCCACCTGTGGACGATCATCAGAACAGAAGCTTTTGTGTACAGACCAAGAGGAATGGTAATTTCATGCTCAGGAAGGGGTCAAAGGATCTCCATGCCTAAGATTTAGGATTAGATGCCATGCATCAGACCGAATCATACCTGTTTTCTTGATCTGGCGTCCCTCCGTTCTTGCTGAACAGACACATACACCCTCCTGTTCTCAAACGCAAGTACCTATGTACGTATAAGGGTATGCATATATATAAATATCTATATCTATACATGTTTCTCCATGGGCGCGCGCACTTTGTAATTCGGAGAATACGTTGTTGCAATAATTGTGGGCCGGGTTCATTGAGGGAACTTCCAGCAAACAAACGTAATGCCCCGCAGGAGCTTACATGTAGTTACAAGGCTCAGGGCCTAAACCCAGACCCAAAACTGCTAGCAGGATCTGAGGGTCGAGCTGAGGCAATGCTCGACCACCTATCCTCGCGTGTATCGAGCCACCTTGCCAAACAGCAAAAAACAAAGCGCTCGGGGTCTAGCGTGCAGGAATAGGTTGGAGCACTTCTGAAGATGATCTTATCCTGATCATCCTAGGGCTGACGCAGGATTGAACATAAGGGCTACTAGGCGACAATCATGGGCCCTCCAGACTTGGATAAAGACGTAGATGCAAGGGCTGCTCAAAAACATACTTAACATAGAGGTTTATTACATGCTCTCCAGCTCTCCAGAACTCGAGATACCCTGCATACATCCCATATGCATTCACCCAAACCAACACGAAAGAAGTACGTAGCTGGTAACCTTGTGTACACATGTCCTCTTTCATTGCTCCTTCGCTGAGCGTGCCAACCCCTACAACCCTGATCTCAGCAACTTGGAGGAGTCAGCCACGCAATTCAGGACAGCTGCAGATATATACGTCTCTGGAAAAAATTTGAGCCACTTGTATTGTACTTGTGGGTCCTCAGAATGGGCGGGAACCATGAGTTTTTGAATGGACTTGCAACGTGTTCGCTCACTCTCTGTGCAGCTCACTGAAGCTCAATACATCATGTTGCTCTTGTCTCAGCTCTTGCGAAAGCCAAGGAGGACTCTGATCAGCGTGGAGCTTGGCTTGTTACTAGATTCCTTTTTGTGACCCAAAGAATCCATACATCCTTGTCACTATCCACACTGGAATAGGAAAACCCAAGGTCACCAGACCGCTACGATTCAGACATTTCTGGAGGTTTTGCTGGACCCCAGTACCTCGTAGCCTGGTATCGTCTTTGAGCACTCACCGAAAAAAGGAGAATACGTGAAACCCTGAACCCTCAACCGACTCTCAACCCTCTTGGACATCAAAACAACAACTGTGTACCCAGCATTGGAGGTCCCCAGCATTCATGAATAAGCTGCCGAACCCACCAAAAAGGCTCCATAACATGCAGAAGCTGACGGGGTGTCTATATCAAGATGTGTCTAAATACCATGTGATACCCCCTGCCGCAGCAATTTTGAGCTGCGGACGTTGTTTCGAAGCCGGCTTCTCCCAGAGTGGTAAGGAGGCCTTCGGCTTCGGCCTGGTATATGGCCTGATCACTTGAGGGTTTAAAAGGTTAGGGTGCAGACACGTTTAGGACATTTGGCCTGTCCTTGGAGTCATGCAGGGGGAGGCCTGTGCGTAGTTTGCCTGGTGTTTGTCTGTGGTTGTCAGCTGTGTTTTGCGATTTGCCACTGTGTCGGGGGGTTGGAGGGGGCGAGTCCGGGGGCGGGGAGGTGGGTAGCAAGCATGTTAAAGCTGCGTTCATTTCGGTTTGTTTCTTCCTGCGGCTGCTGCCGTGCTACTGCTTTTGCATATGTCAACCCTGTAAGGGCTTCTTCAATTTTACGTTCAGTGCTTCTTTTGTGTTCCTGCTGCTGTTCTCGCCCGTGCTGCTGCCATGCCGACGCAGTTACATGTGCAATTCTGTCTGTTGTTTCCTTGTTTTAGTATCCGTTAAGATCCCCGAAAGGTTTCCCTCATGTAAGAGCAGTGTAGGGCAAGCATCATGTGGGAGGGTCACCTTAGCGAAAAGAATGAAGTAGCAAGCACCTCATGTTCAACAGCTTTCAGCGCCCCTTCAGCGGCGGCATCGACCACGGAGAGAGAGAGAGAGAGCATCATCAGTGTGAGAGCAGACATGCTCAAAAATCACAGCCGCTACGGGGAGTCAAGAAATGCTGGCTTGACCGCGCTGTGGCTCAATGCAAACTCCTCCCCGTGCCCGTTCCCGCTCCAGGTCCGATCCTGCCATGACGTTCGCAGTCACAGACTCTCTCGCCGCAACTCTTCTCCCCATGTTGCCGTGCGGAACGGGGCGTTGATGGCAAGAACGCAAAGAGATGACAGATTCTAGCCGGCGCTCGAAGATCATGTGCCCCACTCCATCTGCCAGAAGACGGAAAAATGATGAAGGCTCTGGGCGCGATTTGTTGAAACGAAGTTTGCTTCAGCCTTCTTGTTAACAAACTTCTTTCTGGCTTCCGCAGCCGCCGGAGCAGCCAGTTCCTCCAATTGCTAGCAGGCGCAAGACCTCGTAGACTGGATGTGTCCAAACGCACTAGTTTTGAGTCATCACGACTTTCACGACACCATGAATCCACCGCAAAAGATTAGCGTCCCTGCACCGACGGCCAAACAGCCCGAAAATCCCTCGCAAACTACGCACGCGCGACCATGTAGGGATAGGGGGTTCATGTAAGAAATCCTGAAATCTTGCGGCACCACAAGCTCACGGAATCCTTGAAGTTATTTAGGGGTGTCAGGGCTTCTTCCATCAACGGAACGGGATGAAATGGAGGCCCTTTCTGGGCAATATAGTAGTTTTCATGGCGGTTCATAGTGGCTCATATTTCGAGATTTTTCGTGCCAGTGGAGCTTAGGCTGGCAGGTTGTAATATTTCTCGATGGTTGGGAGCATGTGCCTTAAACTGCGTTTGAACACTCACGCTCTGTGAACGTTCAGGACCCGGCCTACAAGCCCTTCTCTGCATGGGCCCGTGACTTGGTCATAGGATTTGCCAGTTACGGTAACGGGCTCTTGCTGACAAGGAATGAAAGAATGTGCTTTCGGGGATTTGCAACACATCAGTGTAGCACAGGTCTAGGGGATCCCTTCCTCCGTTCTCTTGGAACAGAATGCAAGTCTAGGTTTGAGGGGCTTTGTCGCCGAGCAATTCAAGAACCTTTGCTTTGAAATCCAAGCCCTAAGCCGTGAGGATGTAGTAGCGAGTGGCTTCAGCTCTTTGGCTGACTATGAAGATATCTACTTG